GGCAGTGGATGATCATAGAAATGGCCAAGACCGCGGATTCGGGAAAAAAATTTTCCAGGCAATCTTGATTTAGTCTGGAAGTTAAAAGGTATTTAACTCCTAATTGTTTCAAATCAGAAAATAACCCCAGCAGTGATGTAATCGACATCATAAATCCTTTCTGAAATGGTAATAGGTGCTTTGCCTTGCCCACTCTCATGTCTTCACAAAAAGCATAAAATTTCTTTAAGGTTCTCTCCTGGATTTCTTCATGTATCCCATACGCACAAGATAACACTGTATCAGAGACAGGTTTCCTGGAGTTAAGAATATCAAATGAATTATTCACTAATTCAAAAAAAAATTGCAGTTTCCTCTTCTTCTGGTATAAGATAGCGGATACCTTGTGCAGCATGGTTTGAAAATAACTGCGCAGCTAAATGCACACGCTGGCATTCATTACCTTTAACAGAAATGAGACTTACGGACAACTTTGGGCAAATTTTCACTTCTTTGCAATCCATCGATATCAATCTTTCGATAGGTTCTTTTGTAATTAATTTATTTCCCGGAAGCATTAATCCGTCATCCAAAAAGTGATTACGAAGAAGTTTCAAAAGGTGTGGCACATCAGCAAATACCCACACACGTTTACTAACAGTCCTGGGGATGTGTAAAAGCTGCTGTTCAGATGAGTAATCTTGAAGGTTTTGTCCACACAAGCACGATTTCTACCAACCAAGTCAGCCATACCAGCTGCAACTACACATAATATCCAATTTCTGCTAATGTTATTATTATATCTTTCAATATTTCTGCAGTCATTTGCATATCAAAGTCGAAATATATTGGCTGCTTCCAGCTTGCAAGAAGTCCTTGCGCACCATTACTACTTGAACATTCTATGTGGGCCAACAATCTTATCTTCTGCTTGGTCATAACAGATTCTACTATCCACGTTCATTTCATCGAATGAAAGAACACACATACATTCTTTGTCTGTCATCTGTAATGCCCCAGCACGCATAACATGAATTACATCGTGTAGCAAACCAGGAGAACAGCGAAATGAACAAAATACCCATCTCTTCAAAGTCGAAATGCTAGGAAATGGAAATCCCATTTTTTGTCTGAGATAGTTATAGCATCTTTTGGATACTGCCCTAAGTGTTGCAGATTTGCAAATGTCATCTGCATTCCACTTAACATATTTTTTATTTGACATGAGAAAGCGAATTTGATTGTCCGTAAAAATTGTCCCTAAAATTTTTTAACTGCACTATGTACTTGTTTGCTTGTTACTTTCCTGCTCATTTTCTGATAGCTACGCAATTTTCTACGAGAAGCAGTAAGTTCAGTAAAAATAATTTTCTTTTGCATTTTCAATTGACTGCACAACACATTTAATCTCTTATTTTCCTTTTCTAAGATTTGCACACGCTCAACTAAATGAGATGTGTCATTGGATGTAAACTGAGTTGCACAGTCTATCTTATCAGCTTGTAGTTTTTTCTTTTTGGGGGAAAGGGAAGCTAAATTTTCCAATGCTCCTTTCCTTGTTCCCCGAGCCTGACACCTGCTTGCTCTATCCCTTTTTAGCATAAATTTAGATAACTCATTCCTGTTAGAAAACGTTCTCTCCAGATTAGGTTCAGTTTTTTGAAGCACAACATATATACTTTATTGATGAGTTATTTTCACATGATGATGACGGAAGATGTAAAGTGGGAACAGCATTGGCTTTCAGCACCCTTTTAGGAGTTGAACCAAGCAATTCTGCCTTTAGATCTCGTACGTAGTCATCAGGTGTAAAATGAAGAGCACATACTCTGGCATTTTCGATGTTGAAATTATCTGCTCTTTTGCAGCGATTAGTCCATAACTTACGAAGTTCTGGATCACTTGGAAAACGATGGTATGTGATGCCTTGACTTTTAGTTTTCCTTCTATAATTCTGACACAACGCTATAGCACAACTTGCCATTTCCGACTACTTATAAAAGCAAATTAACAACACAAATCAAATGTATCACAGATCAAATGCAACGAATGTAAACAAACGCCGAGAACTAACGACTGTCACCCACATGACGTCATGCGCAGGTGGCAAATTTTTCTCCCTGCACTACGCATCGCTCGTGGGCCCCCCCTGGAGACAAACCAGTCCTTCCAGTATTTATACCTTTCGACGCACGTGCTCGCGCGTGATAACAATACAAGAATCGATGTAGCCACAATGTTCTCACAATACCTTTCCTTCCTTTTCCACTTTTATTATCAATGAATTCATCACTTTTAAATTTTTCAATGATTTTCTTGACACACTTGCGACTTCTACCAACAATTTTAGTTATTTCAGAATAAAATTTTCCTTTTTAATGTAATCTTAGTGCGAATTTCCTTATGTCAATACTGGTTTCTCTTCGAAGAGCCATTTTCTATTTAAAAGTGTGGCTTTACGTTCGTATAACAAACCTCATCATAAAAGTGAAAAAGTTTTAAGATAAGATTACGCAACATTAGAATAAAATAGAAGCCATTTAGAGAAATGCAGTGGTAGTTAAACATATTTTTCATTGATGTATTCTCAATATTTTGTAAGTATCAAATCTGCATATATTTATTTAAAATGCTTCTGAAATTTTTCATTTTATTATTTTTCGTTGATTATTCTTTATTTTTACTTTAAATTAAATCAGTTATTACGTGTAAAAATAAAAAGAATGAGTCCGCTATTGGTAATATGTTATTTAAATTGAAATTTTGATTTATCAAGTAAGGTTTACTCTCAGTTTTTTGAACCACTGTATATGAACAGCCACTGTATATATTTTTGAGCCACATGTTTGAAATTTTCTGTGGAAAATATGTTTCGAATATCAGATAGGACAAGAGACCACGTCGTAGCTAAGTCTAAATGGCTTAAATGCCAAGAGGATTCTTGGATATTAAAGCTGTAGATACTACCATTATTTTTGCAATTATTAATAGTCAGCTATCCTCTCTGCGGGATTCGAATCGCGTATTTGCAGTGTCAACTGGAAGGGGCATATCACTTGCAGTCAAAGACTAAGTACAGACGTAGGCTGTGAATCCTAACACTATCTCCACTTAACCCTTTGGGTACATTTGACGAGTGAGACTCGTCATCTTAGTCGGGCGAAGTTATGGTGGACGAGTCTGACTCGTTATCTGATTTTAAGAAGCATGCGTTAGAAGCAGTCCAATATAAGTAGTATAATAAGTATATTCTAAATAAAATGTATTGCTTTTACATATTTAATCCATATAGCGACAAATTAAATCTGTCCCATGGGCATAAAAATCTTCAAATAATTCAGTACTCAAAGGATTAAAGAGCTAATGGAATAAGGCATGATATCCAGTTCACAAATTATAACGACGATGTGATGGAATTTACCCTTCCATGTTTGATCGGGTGACACTTGTAAAAGGTATTTGAACAGAAAGCATGAAAAATCAACTATGTCCTCTCCCGGACTCAAGCAATGGAATTTCCTTGTCACCAGATAGCTGCACTAGGATAGAATTCTCAAGAAAAATAGACAGTTCCCTTTAAAGCATCATTTGAGAAATTCGCTGTAGGAATTCCTGAACTCGTTCTTTGAATTCGGAAGTATTACAAGGACAATTTATAATAATTGTGTAATGGAAGGAGAATATTTATAATCATTGCGAAATTTAAAAATTCTGTTAGCATTTATTTCTATAGTAGTGGTTTCCAACGTAAGGGTCGTGAATCCTCTAAAGGGGAGAGGGCTGCGAGAAGTTCCAAAATACGAAGAAAAACCTTATTTGTTTTAGTAACGTTAATATGTTTTTATGAAAAAAATAACCAGGCGTCAGAACTAGCTCAATGACTTCATTTTAAAGCGATATTCGTCACGTTGGAATACACCTTTTGAAGGATGTCCTTGTAAAGCTTAGTTGCGAGAATATTTGCTTTTTTCACCTGAAGCTATCATTCACGGTAACAACCTATGGTATTGTGAGAAAACATTTCGGATATATCTGAGTACCTCCGGATATTCAAAATAACCACTTCGCCTGTCTCATTTGCAATGAAGTACGGCCAAAAATTCTATTCCCAAGAAAGTCAGTGCCATGCTGTCATCACCTCAACTAGGATCTACTAACGGCTGAGCAATAAACTCGATCGCCTTTCGACTCATTTGAAATCCCGGCGAACGGGCTGGCTGTATGGGAGCTTTCCTGGTTTGCGTCATGTTTACTGGAAATATAGACCAGTTTCTCTTCGAAAGTACTCTACGAAGAAAGAGAGCTTTCGAGTGCTTTGCCATAATCTGATTTAATCCATCTCGACTTAACTCTTAACTGCAGTGATCATAGTGACTGCCATTATAATAGTGCCATGCAATGAGAAGTGTATCTATTCTTGCTTGAGTACAGTTATTTATCATCCGCCCTTTTCATGCATATCACTTATATCCTCAAATATTTTAGCGGTACCATTACAAACATTTCTTTTACGCTATGATGGATTCTTGTTCATTCTCATCGGAATTTAAGTAGCCTCTTTTATATGTATGAAAACATTGAAAAGTAAGAAATTAATATGTACTTAAGATCACATAGAAAAAATATCGATTACTCAGTAAAAGATATATGTAATTCTATAGTAATCAATATCTTTGAGAAATTATAGAATTTTATAAGATAATTTGTTGTATAATATTTTCTACAAATTTCATATTCTGAATTATACTTAAAACTGCAGACGAAATTATGTATGATTATTCAACATAAGACGTCAGGACTGCAAAGTCTGCGCGAATACTTGAGCAGCACAGGGAGAGAAGTATTTCTGAATCTTATGCATAAGAGTCAGAAAATAATTTGTATAATTTTGCTCATATTTTTTATCTTTATCAGAAATGTTGCATTTTAACTATTCATATTGCATGTCACTATATTTAATGCATTATTCTATGTACACAAAATATGAATGCATGAAATAAATTAAAAAAGTTCTTTCTTAGGAGTGTTCGCAGTAGGAGACACAGGTATTATAAACCCTATAACGAAGGGCTTCATTATCTGCGGAAGAAGGTGAGCCATGTTAAGTTGTTTCAGAAAATTATACGTATGAAAATATTCATTCATAATACGTATTACATGTCCAAATTCAGTAAGAATATTTATAATAATTGTGAGATTTAAAAATTATTTTTGCATATATTTCTACGTGGAAAGTTACAAACTTCATGAGATAAGAAGCAAAATAGTTCCTCTAATGCAGTGTTTTCCAAAGTAAGGGTCGTGAACCTCTCAGAGGCGTAGCAAGTAGAGTTCCAAAATTTAAAAAAAAGGCGTCTTTTTATATCATTTATTTTAATAACATAAATAAAAATACAACAAATATATATATAAAAAAAAAAAGTGATCCATTCCGTTTAATTTAACGTCAAACAATTTAAAAGTGCAAATGTATGTCATATATTTAGTAATAAAAACAAATTATTTACAAGCTTAAAAATATAAAGGTAGAAAAATAAAATCAAATATTTCAATGGGATCCATGTGCCTGTTTTTCCGAATCCAGTTTTCCAAATCTACTCTCTATATTTTGATATAGACTCAATTATACCCTTTTTTGAAGTTTGAGGCGATATCTCACTTTTGAGAAAAGCTTGAGTGCTGGTGGCAAATGTAAATTAAAAGCACTCGCATGAGAATGATTCTACAAATGGAACCAAACATTTGACAATTCAATTTGCAACGGAGAGTATCGACAGCCTTTGGTCCAAAACTATTCCGGATTATCAGAAAAAAAATTCCAATTTCTGCATTACATCTATTGCTTTTTCAATAAACGTTTCTTTGACGTTTATTGGTATCTCAAAGAATCATCATAGGAATCAAAAAGGAATCATCTAAAAACGTGTTCAAGATTCATCTGTCGCTGCGGTAATTATTTTGAGTCTCTTTGCAAAAACAGCCACTGAGATGTTGTTTACAACTGAGCAAACAAACTTGGATGTTTGCAAAGTCAGGTTTGTTATATATACGTTATAAGCTATTTCTCCCACCTTCCTAGCGTGCCTTTGTGGTGTAGTGGTTCTGCACGCTGGCCCGGTATTCCAGAGGCCCGTGGTTCGAATCCCGGCGAAGGCGATTGCTCAGTTTTCATCTTGACTGCTTCCAAAAAATACCTAATATCTCTATAACGTATAGTTGGATTTATCTTCCGTAAGTCCCTGAAATCATTTGAAAGAATTAAACTGCTTCTTGCCTTTAAGTCGACCATAAACAATTTTTTCTTATAAAGTCCTTAATTTTACCTGTGGCTGTAATTATATAAACGTCTCGATCTTTTAAATTACTGGTCAAAATATTTAGGTATTAGAAAATGTGAGCAAGAAAAGTTATCTTCAGAAACCTAAACGAATCGGAAAATAGGTTCGCGTATGGCGATTTATCATTTTAAGAATACATCAAAAGATTTGCTCTTAACTGGAAAACTCTTTTCGAGACATTGACCTTTGAAACCCACCTTATTTTGTTGTGATAAAAAAGACCGACATGAAAAGAACATTTTTCCTTATAGACATTTCGAAAAAATACATATCTGCTATGCTTTTCCCTTGATAGAATTTACAACTTTATTGACACTTTTTATAACACAGTCTATTTATAAGCTTTCGACAAGAGTTTCTAGGAGTAAAATCAGTATCTCCAACGTAGCTTTAGACATACTTTATACATTAGACCTACTACTTGTAATTTGATGAAAAAACCAGATCGATGCTTTTTATTCTTAGCTTTAGCGGAATCTGCACATATAACAATGCATTTATTCCAGTCATTTTTCATAATTACTTGTGCTTTTCATAAAAGTGTCGAACAAGGATTTCAGGTGGCATTGGCCTCTAGTGGCGAAAAAAATATTGTTACGAAATCTACAGGCGCGGTGAGATGGCTTTCCCGCAAAGTAATTTTAGGGTTGCCATAAAATGGCAAGGGAGTGTATAAATGCCACATTTGGCGAGAAATCGCCTATTTGGCGACAAAATTTGTGATATACCATGGACGGTTGGAGAATCTTCTGGAACGAATTCTTACCGGTTTAGCCCAGAATGTTCCCGAACACAAGCCGAAAGCTATATAAACCCTGCTGGTCCGCAGTCAGTAAGTGTGGGTCTCTCATCGAGAGTGTGTCTCGTCTAGCAAGTCAATCCCTACGGAGTCGATCGAGTTGACAGCCGGGCAGCGAGTGCCGAGTGGGTCGTCGAGTTCACCGAAGGAGTCTCTTAGTGTATCGCGGTTAATTCATCGTCGAGAGAGCGTGTTGAGCTCCGGGAACGACTGAACCAAGGAGTCGGAAGCTGTGCTCGTGTGTCGTCGAGTGCACGCGAGTTGTAGCGGGAGAGTCTCGAGAGTACGGAGTCCAAGACCAAGCAGAGTCGGGTGCTTTGCAGGAAGCTGTCTCACCGTTATTGCCTGACAGTGGGAAGGCTGTGTCGCTGATTGTCCAGCGTGTTTATAGTAGATCTTCGACGATGTAAAAGTGTCTTGGAGCGTCCTGATTAATTTATAAATAAGTGTGTTCGATACTTATCATGTCGCGTATTCACTCCAAATCTACGAACCCCGTGCGAACGTGAAGGAAGAAAATAACGTAACAATATCTTCTGTAATTCTAATCTTTGTATCATGTCATAAAGGTACTGTGAATTGAGCTGAGCACTGATAAATACATCTGTGGATTCGTCCGTCTGTAGAGAGAAATTCATACATTTCTTAAAATCTTCCACTATTTGTGTTTTGAATACATTCTATCATATCACTTATTCTTCTTTGGATGGTATTAATTGACAAAAGTATCGTTTCTAACTTTGCAACCTCTGTTTCACCAGTCTTTTTTTGCACCATTTCAGCAGCTGCTGAGAAAATAAGATCTTCAGCAGTTATATATGACTTACAGGTTTTAGCATCGTGATATGCAACTTGATAACTTGCTAGTAATTTTCTTTCGCTTATAGCGGTTGCTGATGTAAAAGTGGCTTGCCTGCATGGGCGTTTTCGTGGTTTTCCCATGTGTAACGTATATACGAGCCAGTTTTCCTTCGAAATCCCTGTACGAAGGTATCCCTCCTCTTAGCACATAGCTCTCGAGCGTTTTGCCGTAATCAAGAAACCAAGCCTTATGAATATGTGGATATGGAGAAGTATGGTGGACACCCATTGTTTAACTTTTGGCAATGTGGGTGTTGTCCAGCCACACTACATATCCCGATAATTACCCCCCCCCACAGGACTTACAGGAGAGTTTGCCAGGCTAGCTTTTTTTCAAAGGATTGGTAGAGTTTATCCTTTTTGCTTTGCTTTATGCTATTTAAGTATTGAAATAATTTTGGCGGTTTCATACTTTCTGTTGACAAGACTTTTCGACAAACAACACTTTATGGTTTATTGGAAATTATGCTAAAATCATATTTAAGATATTCATCACTGTAAAGTCTGTTTTTCCTTTTTATCAATATCACCAGCCGTAGTTAGTTCTGTAGTTCTTTTTCAAAATTTATCCCTAATTTGTGACTTATCATAATGTAAAATATTTATTCAGTGCTGCACTCTTTACGGCACTTTGCTTGCATTTCGCTATTTATATAAAACCAAACTGAAGCTTCCAAAGAGCCATCTCATAGCGCTTTAGCGAATGCGCCAAAAATAATAGAAACAGAAAGAAAGATGTCGCGCCATGC